GCCAGGCTGGAGTACAGTGGTGCCATCTTGGCTTACTGCACCGCGTGCCTCTCAGGTTCAAGTGATTGTCCTGCCTCAGCCACCTGAGTAGCTGGGACTACAAGCACATGCCACCACACTCAGCTAATTTTTGTGTTTTTAGTAGAGACAGGGTTTAACCATGTTGGCTAGGATGCTCTTGATCTCTTGACTTCGTGATCCACCCTCCTCGACCTCCCAAAGTGCTGGGATTACAGGCTTGAGCCAAAGCACCCAGCCAAGACCTTTGATTTTTCAAGGTGATACTCTGAAAATAGAGAACTTGGTGGGCCTGTATAACAAAGGTTTTTTTCTACAACAAGTACGCACATACACAGGTGAAACTGTATTTTGCTGAACGTGAGCCATCTACAGCTGTGATTCTTTGACTCATAACTTTCTCTACCCACTGGCTCAACAAGAATTGATGGTTTGCCATTTCCCTAGGAACCTAGTTTTGAAAAATCTCTCCTTAAAGAAGATATCCCTTTCTCTGTCTATGATATATGAACTACTCCCCCCTGTATTTCTCCCAATTCCTAGTAATTTACCTACTGTAGTTTCACTCAAGAACTCACTACCTTAATAGAGATTTTTTTTTTTTTTTTTGAGATAGTTTCTCACTGTCTCGCCCAGGCTGGAGTGCAGTGGTGTGATCACGGCTCACTGCAGCCTCAGCCTCCCGGCTCAAGTGATCCTCCTGCCTTAGTCTCCTAGATAGCTGGAACCACAGGCACAAGCCACCACACCCAGCCAATTTTTGTATTTCTTGTAGAGACAGGGTTTTGCCATGTTGCCCAGGCTGGTCTTGAACTCCTGGGCTCAAGTGATCCTCCCACCATGGCCTCTGAAAGGGCAGGGATTACAGGCATGAGCCATTGTGCCTAGCCTTATTTTTTGGAAATAGGATCTTCCTTTGTCGCCCAGGCTGAAGTACAGTGTTGTGAACACGGCTCACTGCAGCCTCGACTTCCTGGGCTCAAGCCATCCTCAGCCTCCCATGTAGTTGGGATCACAGGTATGCGCCATCACACCTAGCTAATTTTTTATAGAGACAGGGTCTCACTTTGTTGCCCAGGCTGGTCTTAAACTCAAGTAATCTGCTCAAGTAATCTGCTTGCCTTGGCCTCCCAAAGTGCGGGATTATAGGTGTGAGCCACCACACCCAGCCAAGAAGTTTTTCTGTCCTCAGAGAGCTCTGGTTTTTAGAAACCTCTCCCTGAGAATAAGGAAACCTGTCTGTAACAAGCAAATGGAATAAAATAGAAACACTACAACTCTTATTTTCTAGTATAGAACCTCTAACTGCTCAGGTGGGCAGTCTACCCTTCGCTTAAGTGCTCCGCCCCTTTTATTCGTCAGGCAGTGTGTCCTTATAATGGGCCTTTCTATTGGTAGATAAAAGCTTCCCTCTCCTGTTCACTCAGTTGCTACCCAACTATCCTGTGATGCCAATCTTAATATTAGAAGAGCTTTCAAGTCCCCATTGCCTCCTTCCTATCTGCCTTACAGCCTGTCGTGGTTGCTGGAGAACTTTAATTACAGTGTCGGGGTGTTCAGGAACAGTCCTAACCCCCTTCATGTGAAGATTGCAGAAATGGGCTTGGGTCATATACAGACCATCATGATGCTTTACTGGAGAACAGTAAGTTCTTTCACAGAAGATGTCAACTAATACATGCATTTTCTTTGCAGTACCCCAAGAGGCAGGAGCTGATTCCTATATAGTTAGGATATAGCTGGCCAATGATCTCTTTAAATGTAATTTCCATCTGCCACATTTTAAATTACAGGTTATTGCATCAGGAAACTGTTGAGTCAGATTCCTGCCACAAAATGTTGCTAAGTATTTGGTGCCTTGGAAAGGGCATTAGACGCACAGTGAGAAGACCATGGTTTAATCTGACATTCCGCTTACTAGCTGTAGAAGCTTGAGCAAGTTAGTTAATCTCTGTCTGTATACTCATCTGCAAAATGAGGATAATGCTTATCTTATAGAGTGTTGTGAAAGCAACGAAGATTGTGTAAAAGGGTGTCATAAACTGAGAAGCACTGCACAAATGTAAGGTCTCCTAAGGAAAACCTTTTTAAAACTCAAAATCTATATGATCGAAGATACTTTTTCCTGTTGGGTGGAATATTGTATAGCCATTAAAAATTATAAGAGAAAATATATTGAAAAATAGAGTTTAAAATGGTGAGTGTGCAATTACATCAGTGTAAAAGCTGTGTACATAGACTAGAATATGGAAAAAAATAAATTAGAGGCAGTGGAATTGAGTGACTTTTTCTTTAAAGCCTCTTAGGTAAATTAGGTATATTCGGTTTAGTTCAATAAATTTTTATTGTGCTCTCACTCTACCAAGCCCTACCAAGCTAGATTCTATGGGTGCTGAGACAAATAGAACACACTCCCTCCAATCAGGGACTCCCATTCTGTACAGTCTTGTCAAAGTTTACTGTGTAGATGAATCACTGGGAAGCGTATTAAAAATTCAGATTCTCCTACTCCCACCATAAGGTCTGATTCAGTAGGTCTGGGATGGAGAAGCTCATAGTTGGCGTTTTTTTAAAGAGTCACCCTGAGTAATTCTAGTGTAAGTACTCTAATTCTGTATTGAGAAACCTGTAGTGAGGTTTTAATATTTTTACACTAAAGGGTAAGTAATAATTATATAAATCTCCTGCTTATTGAAGAAGTTATTCTGTTCTCTCTGTATGCTTGAGCTGGTTTTTATGCCTTTCTGTCAAGGATGGGAAAGCCAGGCTGCAGTGATACCCTTTGGACCCCATGAAGCATAGAAACTACCATGCCTCTCAACTTTTATCTCTTTTCTCACTCCATTTCTCTCCACATCTTCTCCCATGTTTTTTTCTTTCTTTGCGAGTGTTAATCTCCCACTCTGGTTCCTTCTATGCCTAGTAATATATCAACATCCAGGTGCTTCCCCTTCCTCTCTCCACCCCACCCCCTCAGCAGATACATCAATCGTATTGAAGACAACAACTTACATCTAGTTTACTAAGTACAAACTTGTGCTGGCTGTTTCTCAAAAAGTAAGAGTGGGCTATTTGTTGATCAACAATCATTTTTTAAAAAAATCTGACATGGAAATTTTTGTGTCAAGTTTCACTATCATTTAGTTCTTGATGGATTTTCTTCTAATGGGTTAGTAGCCCTCAACAGAAAATTTTAAAAGTCCTCTGCTCAGGAACCTGTCCTGCCCAGAGCTGGGGTGTACCCTGCACCCTGACTCAACACTACTTGTCTCCACATGCCTGTAAATGGGCTTGGGTGGCTTTCTCAGGCTACACACCTGTCACCTCTTAGTCGCCCAGAATCAAAATATTTACAGCTCTGATCACATTGTCTGTGGCTATGAGGCTTTATTTCAAGAGTGGTGACACTCCAAAATGCAGCTAGGATTTCTGCATTTTCATGTGTTTAAGTTGTTTTTACTTCAGTAAACCAAGGGTTGGACAGTGGCTTCCAGACTTTCTCCTTTTGTTATGTTCCTTTAGTACCTTACGCAAATAATGGTTGTCTTATGTTGCCATTCATCTCCTCTGCCAGAATGTGAGCTCAGTGACAGCAGAGACAAGAATACATTAATTTTTATATCTGCAGTGCCTTGGAGAGTGCCTGACACTTAGTGGGCACTCGTTAAAAAACTGCCGAATGAATCACTAAGGTGACCAAAAACGGTGGGGGGAATGCATCCATCAGAGAACAGGGAAGTATTTCTTAAAAAATTTCCCCCCAAAAAAATAAAAAAATAAAAAAAAATAAAAAAAAATTTCCCAAAACTGGCTTTTCTCTTTTTATGTGTCTGAAATATCTCATAAATTTTTAAACTATCTTTTTCAGCACAAATCTATCTGGAGCCGTTTCCTGAACATAGGACCAAAAGGCAGGAATCAAAAGTAATAATGAGTTTAGTTATCTGTTACTGAAGGTGATTTATAGAGCATTCTCCTGGCATTGCTTCTGGAATACAGTGACTTGGACTTCTGAAGAACATCTCTATGCTGTTCATCATTATACCGCCAGCACCTAGCCTTGTGCCTGTGCATAGTAAATGCTCAGTAAGTATTGTTGAATGAATGTATTAAATGACAAGAAATTCAGAAGCTAGCCCCAAATGAACTTAGTTGCTCAGATTTTCAGTTAGTGGTTTTCCCCACTTCACTCTTTTAATCTAGACAAGTTTATTGCTTTCAAATTGAAGGTAGCTACTATTTATGTCATTAATTCAACAAATGTTAACTTATGTCTATCTGCCTATCTGTCGGGTACCTGAAACTAATTAAAACCTAACCTCATACAGTTTCAGTCCCCATACAGTTGGTTCATAATTCTCAGTGCTCCCACAATCCTTTGAACATACCCCTTTTATAACATTGCCCAAATACTACTATAAATATCTGCCTATTTCTCTCCCCAGAAAGACCCTGAAATTTTGAAGAACATAGGCTTGTCTTGGTATTTGTATGCTGAACTTGAAGTAGTAGGTTCTCAGAAAATCCCTACTGAGACTTAACTAACATGTACGTAAGTAACCATTCCCTATTAACATGTATTTGAATAGAAAGAAATGTGCTTTTTAAGTATAATCCTAATTTAAAGGGATAGATACTAGGTGTGTCCTGAAAGAAACAAGACTGGTTTTTGTGTCTCTATTAAACACCTTCCAAGGTATCTACTTAGTTATCCTGTCCTTTTTCTGGCAATTCCTCTACGGTTGTCCTGGCTAGTGGGTCCCTAACAGACATCCTGGGACCAGATTGGACTAGGGGTGGACACCTGACCCCAATAGACCAGTTTCATTTTCTCTCTAGAAATTGGGGCTGAGGACAGTAGAGTGTCTGGACAGGTTGCTTGAGCCAGGAACATATAAACTTAGGGGCCAGAGGGTAACCATGTATTCCGAGAGACAGAAAGCAGTCTTCAAAGAGGAAGACAATGAAGGCAAAATGTTTAAGATGAGAAACTGTATATGGCCTGAAAGAGACACATACAGAATGGATACCTGGTTTTTGCCATGTTTATTCCCTGGCTGCTGCTCTTTCTGAGGCCAGATTATTCAACTTTTCCATGGGTTCCATGGGAGATAACTTACTTTCTTATTAATAAATTCTCCATCTGATCTTGAGTGAGTTTGAAATGGGTATCTGCTTTGACAACTAAAACAAGTCAAGTTACTGTGTGACTTACAGAAGGAATTCTCATTACTTTTTAATTCTCATCACCTTGTAATCACATCTACATATCCCAGAATATATGTTAATCAGGAATTATTTAGATGGGAAATTCCTGATAAAATAAGATGCAGTAGGAGGGTAAGTGGCTTCTTTGCTTTTCAAATTTCTTAATAGTCTCAGTCACAAAAACAGAAAGCAAATAAATGGAGGCTTATTTACAGAGGAATTGGACACATGTCAGACCCTTTTTGGAACCGCATAACTGGACTTAAAATATTTTTAAGAACCAAGACATTTGGCAGCTTCCCAAACCATCTATTTTTGAAGATTCTGCTTTCCAGAACTGTATTAAGAATGGCCTTTATCACGGGCTTTTGCTGTATTTCAGACTAGCCAAAGCTAAAAACTGGAAGAGACTAAATAAGTATGTGTACATGTAGAGCAGCCCAGACCCTGCAATTGTACTGACCATAAACAATGATGGCCAGACTGATGAGAATAAGATAAAGACATTGCTCTTCAGAAACAGTGCCAGATGTGTGCAGGGCTTTGTATACCACATTCTTTTAGCCCTGGTGTGCCACACCGTGAATTTAGTGTTCACTTAAAATAATCATTTTGAAAACAGGCATGGAAAATACAGAGCAACGATGAACTGCTAAAATCATTTGTCTGGTTCAGGAAAGCTTCAGAGGAAAATGTCAGGGCTTTTTCCTAGAATGTTATGAAAATATTAAATTATACTAATTGCTGCCAACATATTTTCTAACCATTCTAGGAAAAGAAAACAACAAAGTTTCCAGCTCTTATTCTAGGTTGACACTGGACCTTGGAGATGTTTGCAGGTAATTTGACTCCCATCTACTTTCCTTCTTTGGTTGTGTTAAATGTGCCTCTTCTATTCCTAGTGAGGCTGTCATTTAGAAGGGGTGGGTGAGGCTGAGGGAAGCTGTTTTAATTCTGGCTTTTGTTTCAGCCACTAAATGTAATGCCACATGATTGTTGACCCAACAATAATCCAGTTAAAAAACAGTCTTCAGAGTTACTACATCATCAGAATTAACCCTGATTACATCAAATTATGTTGAAACAGACCACAGCTGTTTGCCCTGTTGAAGCAACTGCTTGAGAGCTCCTCCGGAAGATACATCTGGGTGTCAGGAAGATATATTTTGGGTTTAATTTTGTTTCTCAACACAAATGTAGGAGAGAAACACCCTGTTCTGCTGGGGTGCTTGGTGGGAGCTGAAAATTTTGTGATTCTTCAGCAGTCAAAAGTCATCTCAATTACCAAAGAGAAGGGAACCTGAAATCTTTTGTTTCAGTTTTCTAAAGGAAGGATGTAAGAAGAAGGAAATTCAAATCTGTTGAGTATTGCTTTTGCCAGCAAAAAGAAGTTGAACTGAGTAGAGAGAAAGTGGTGCAATTTTCTTTGGTGGCTTTATGCAGTGGTATGCTAGAGCTGGCTCATATCAACCCAGGACAATCGACTTCAATTGTGAAGAATTTTGTAAGATGGCTGTTAAAATGTAACATCATTAAAAATAAATTGTAATAAAAAAATGGGAAATAAGTATTGGAAAAGATGTGGACCGATTGGAACCCTCACACATTGCTGATGGGAATGTAAAATGGTGTAGCCACTGTGGAAAAAAGTTCAGCAGTTCTTTAAAAAGTTAAACAGTGTCACCATATGACTCAGTATTTTCACACCTAGATAGATACCTAGATTGAAAACATATGTCCACACAAAAACTTGTACAGGAATGATTGCAATAGCATTATTCATAATAGCCAAAAAGTGGAAACAACTGTAATGTGCATCAACTGATGAATGGATAAAATGTGGTGTATTTATATAATGGAATATTATTCAGCCTTAAAAAGGAATGAAGAACGAGTAAGTGCTTCAACATGGATGAACCTTAAAAACATTATACAAAGCTGGCCAGGCGCGGTGGCTCACACCTGTAATCTCAGCACTTTGGGAGGCCGAGGCGGGTGGATCACGAGGTCAAGAGATTGAGATCATCCTGGCCAACGTGGTGGAACCCCTATCTACTAAAAATACAAAAAAATTAGCTGGGCATGGTGGCACACGCCTGTAGTCCCAGCTACTCTGGAGGCTGAGGCAGGAGAATTGCTTGAACCCAGGAGGTGGAGGTTGCAGTGAGCTGAGGTTGCGCCACTGCACTCTAGCCTGGTGCCTGGTGACTGAGTAAGACTCGGTCTCAAAAAAAAAAAAAAAAAAATTATACAAAGCAAAAGAAGTTAGACACGAGGTCACATATTGTATGATTCTGGTTATGTGAAATGTCTAGAATTGACAAATCAGTAGAGATTAAAAAGTAGGTTAGCAGTTGCCAGGGGATGGGATTGGGGGAATGGAGAGTTACTGCTAATGGATATGGAGTTTCTTTTGAGGGTGATGAAAATGTTCTGGAATTAGATAGCTGTGGAATTAAACACAATACAAGAAAGTGGGTGTTAAGTGTTCTTACTACAAAAATAGTAACTATATTAGGTAATGCATTTTTTAATTAGCTAGATTTAACCATCCCACAGCGTGTATTTTATATATATTTATATTTCAAAACATCATGTTTTACACAATAAACAATGTTACCTGACAATTTTTATTTAAAAAAAACCCACTGCAGCTGCTTATAAGTACCTTCACAGATACTATTCTATGGTTTGTATGGATCAGGGAGTTCTAGATGTTCCAGTGGTCCACAGCCCTCACCTGTCATCCTTTCAGGGTTGGTTCCATCATTCTCACAATGAACACTTTTTTTTGGAGATGGAGTTTCGCTCTTGTTACCCAGGCTGGAGTGCAATGGCGCGATCTCGGTTCACTGCAACCTCCGCCTCCTGGGTTCAGGTAATTCTCCTGCCTCAGCCTCCTGAGTAGCTGGGATTACAGGCACGCGCCACCATGCCCAGCTGATTTTTTGTATTTTTAGTAGAGACGGGGTTTCACCATATTGACCAGATGGTCTGGATCTCTTAACCTTGTGATCCACCTGCCTTGGCCTCCCAAAGTGCTGGGATTACAGGCGTGAGCCACTGTGCCCGGCCCCAAAATGAACATTTAATGAGCATCTCTTGTGTGCTGGTACCATGCTCTGGGAAGCTCTGGGAATACAAAAATGAGGAAAGGCCAGATGTGGTAGCTCACGCCTGTAATCCCGGATTCAGCAGCACTTTGGGAAGCCAAGGCAGGAAGATCACGTGAACCCAGGAGTTCAAGATTAGCCTGGGCAACATAGCAAGACCTTATCTCTACTTAAAAAAAAATAATAATAATAGGTGAAAAAAACATATTCCTGTCTTCAAGGAACTCACAGTTCCTTTACAAGGAAATATTTGCAGTACAATGTGATAATCCAATTTATTATATAGGTGCAGTGTGAATACCAAGAAAAGAGTAAACAACTTTGTGGGGAATGGGGACAGTCAGTTTTAGGGAAAGAGGTCTTGACCTATGTTCAAGATCTAATTCAAGGTAGGAGTTCTCTCTGCAAAGCAAATAAAAGGAGCCAGCATGCAGCGTGTGGTTTGGAAGACTACAGCACTTTCTCAAGGATCTTGACAGTCTTTGTTCTTGGTAGATTATGACAGCTGATTTACCAGTGTCAGCAACAAAGTCCTGGGAGCCTAATTGCCACAGAGCCATTAGCACTGATTCTGGTTATTTTCAAAGGACAAATTAGGAAAATGGGCTTGCTCAAACTTTTCTCTAAGAAAGTTTCTTTTCTTTTATTTACTTATTTTTTGTGGCAGAGTCTCACTCTTGTCACCCAGGCTGGAGTGCAACCTCTACCTCCCAGGTTCCAGCAATTCTCCTGCCTCAGCCTCCCAAGTAGCTGGGATTACAGGCACATGCCACCACACCCAGCTAATTTTTGTATGTTTAGTAGAATTGGGGTTTCACCATGTTGGCCAGGCTAGTCTCAAACTCCTGACCTCAAGTGATTCACTTCCCTCAGCATCCCAAAGTGTTGGGATTACAGGCGTGAGCCACTGTGCCCGGCCGAAAGTTTATTTTCAAAACGTCTCCCACTCTCTAATCTCTGCAGTGCTCCTTCCTCATAAGATGGTCATTTCCCACTGGGTATAGTGTCAAGTAACTCTCAGACTATTAGCCACAGACAGGGAGGAAACCCAATTATGTCTTTAACCATACCCCAATCCTACTTCCAGATCTCATCCTCAACCAGATGCCCAGAGTTGACTTAAGTTAGAGTAATTTGATACAGGGAACCATGTGGGCCTAAAGTAACTAGGGGTTAAAGAAGCACCTTAATGTGCCTGAGAGATCAGTGTCCTGAAAGAAACCAGCTGAGGTGGCTCAGCTGGTCACACTGACCTTGGCAAGCAGCACTCAGTTCTGAAATTAACCTGTCGACTAAATTGAAGGGGAGAAAAAGCAGAAGGGCTAGCAGACAAACATCCATCCCCACCCCCAGTCCAATCACTGATGTCACGCCTGGCGTGGGTGGTATTAATCACACCAATTTGGTGTGCAGTTGAGGACAGCTCTCCTTCCAGCCCTTCAGACCGTTTCTGGGAGCATTCCACCAGCCATGCACCTGCCGCTGGCCACAAACCTTCAACTCCCAAACAGGCATGGATGCAGGCTGTTGCTGATGATACTCAAAGCCACAGTGCACCTTTTAGAACCCCAGGCTTTGTGGGGAGTGGGAGAAGCCAGGAGCGGGAGCCAAATTGGTACCCTTGCTCTCCCAGTTTGCATTTCTAATCTCTGCAGTGCTCCTTCCTCAGAAGACGGTCATTTCCTGAGAATTTAATGAGAATATAGGATTAATGACCCAAAGCACTCTTGGACCCGGCCATTAATTCCCCCAGGAAATACCAGTGGTCTTTAAACAAAATTGTCTAAATTATGGGCTAGTGATGCATGTCCGCTCAGGGCTTGGGGGTGGGGCACTGTCACCCCAACTGGTTCCAGTAGATGGCGCTTATCTTCATGTAAATCATTCAAATGATTTGTTTTCCCTTTTTTTTTCCCCCAGCAAAAACCAGGGAGCATTTAAACAGACAGACACACACACAGCAGGGAGTGGAGAGGACTTCGTAAAGGCCCAGACAGGAGCGTTCTGTTCAAAGGCTGTTTCCAGGCCTGGCATGCCTCTCAGGCTCAAAAGACTGAGCCACTCCAGGGTGCAGCCAGGGACTTCAGCAGCAGTCTTGCTTCCTATGCAGAGCCCATGCGAGGCACTGGTAGCAAGAGGAACGCAGGGTGGGAATCCAGCTAAAGAGCACAGAAAAAAAGCCCCTTTCTTTTTAACATTTGGGGAAAGATGGAGGTGTTCAGAGATCTCTTACTGAAACCAATAGCTGGTGGCCGTTGTATTAATATTTGAAGGTCCCTCCTGCCACTGGCCAAACAAGAAACAGCAAACTTCCATTTCCACGTGAAATTGTAAATAACACCATCTTTTCCTAAACAAACAAAATAAGGCCTTAAAGAATTTCTGGGAGAATATGACCTAACCCCCAATTAACTCTTGCTAAACAGTCTTCCAGTCTGTGTATTGAATTATATAACTATCAAAAGATATCTAAAAGATTTCTGGGGGAAGATAGGGCATACATCTGCCTGACTTGCGTCACAAACCTCAGTTGCAGCCAAACCATGGAGATTTCTCCGACTCTGCAATCCCTGGGACTTGGCACCATGACTCAGATGTGGATGAAGTCAGGATGGCTTTATTTTGGTTGGGCGTCACCGCCTCCTGATTGATTTGGCAGATGTTAAGTACTCTATGTCTTACCGGGATGTAAGGTACTTGAAGCCAGAAAGTTAAAATGGCCATCATTCTGGTAGTGGCCCTTCATTTGTGACTTAAGGATCCCTAAATTGGAAGGTTAAGGGAGCTCTGATCCCAGCCTAATAGTTCTGGCTTTACTTCCCATCCAGCAGCACACTGGATATTGAAGAAACTCAGTGAAATGTTAGATCCAGGGGATTGACCACTAAAGCTCCCAGGGTATCTAGAAGAACTAAGTACGTGGTAGGGGATTGATTTACTTTTCCAAACTGAAGAGGGTGAACTTCCCCAACCCAACCAAGATCTGTTGGACCAAGATCTGTTGTTCCAACTGCTTGAAACAACTAAGTGGCACAGACAGAAAAAAACAAAACAGCTTTAGTCTAAGGTTGTGTAGGGCAGTGGGAGATGCTGCTTATCTAATTCACCTGTCCACAGGGCACCGTTCCCAGTTGAAAAAACGTCTCAGAGAAGTTAGGGAGGGCCTGCCTTTTTTTTTT